GCATAAGTTTTTATGCAGGAGATACAATTTTTTTCTTAAATATGTACCAGATTACGTATTCTGTATTCACTGGAAGGATAATAAATATGTTCTGTTCCTAAAGCTGAATGTTTTCTTCATTACCAAGGCTATAGCATTCATCTTCCATAGGTTTTTGGAGGTATAAATAATAACCCCCCCAAGTATTAAATAATGCAAAGGACAAAATTTCATCCATTAGTTTACATTTATTGAGAACTCATACAAAACAGTACAATTAATGTATTTTCATGAGTACATACATTGTCAATAGGCAAGCTCAACACAACATACTGGAAAGCGTAGGATTTACCTCACGTCCAAGCTGCATCTGCCTAAGATACTTCCCATCACAGTAGCCTTTAAAAGACAGTCTTCTTTTTTAACACGGGTAGTTTCTGCAGAGAACACTATCTCAGGACGAAAATGCCTTTCATGCATATTAAGATAAAGGTTGCATAAATGTAAGAGTTTGATAGGGTACTACAAGTAGAAAAATGGATCTGTTGTACATATTCTGTAGGACCCAATGTTTTACTTTATAAAAATCCTAGTACACAAAGAAAAATGTAAAATTCTACCCTCAAACTTATGAAATGTATCCCACCAACTGACAATATTTTCAGAAGAAAGGATTAGTGAATGATACAGCCTACCTAGCTAGTAAGATCACTGAAGTGTAATTTACACAACTCTAGATAAAGACTGCTTTTTAACTAGCAAATATCCTATACAGAACACATACTAAAAGATGATCTAAAGACATTAGTTGAAATTAAGATGTTCCTCTCTTTTAAAACATTCATTACTTTCATTTAAACCTGGGATTCAATTAGAATTTACAATTATTTTTTTCCTGCTATAACACACAAACTGCACAAGAAAATACTATCTATGGATTGGGCTCAAAGTTTCCATATTGTGAGTAGAATGGAACACTTCAATCCAACCCTATCTTTGAAAGAAATTGGACAAACCAAAAATAAAAAGCTACAGTACAAGAAGATGCCTATAGGTCCACCAAAACAAATTATTAACACAGATCTTCACCTCCTACGCCAACAACTTTTTTCCCTGTTACATCTCTTGACTTTGAGTTAAATTTCAATTTATGCTAAATTTATTAAAAATGGAGTAGGAAAAAAACAAGTTTTCTTTTATAATGGTGAAACAAAATCCAACCAAGATGAAGCTCTTAAGCACATAGCTAGTTTTCATATAAAAATTAATCTGACATATCAAAATATAACCCCCCCTAAAATAAAATGAAGTGGCTCGAGGGAATTCCAGTACAACTATTGATTTAGTTGTAAATGCAAAACATATCCGTGCTTGACTATTTAGCAAGGTGTAAACTGATAAATAATTTTTATTATTACCACATAACAAATTATGGAACATTTATGGTCAAGCAAATAGCACTTTAAAGAATGAGAAGCGATAAAAACAGGCAAATTATACCCTACACCATTAAGTATGGGATACATTTAAAATCGGTATTGTTTTTGCCAATTTTACCTTCCACATGGAGCCCTTCTATGGTCCATGCTCATCGGCTCACCATGGCCATACACTCAAAGGAATCCTCTTTATTGGAAGTAACTATCTCAGGACCTGATTTTATGAGCTATGATTTGGTGCTTGCAGCATCTTCAGCACTGTGTGTGAAAATGAAGGCAGGGTTTTTGAATATTTTCCTTCGATGCACAGAAAAGCAGGACTTTTGATAAAATCAAAACATTTTATTAAGTGACAAACAAAAAACTGATGGTACTGCCTTAGAATTTTCTATTTAAACTGAAAATCTGTACCAGTTAAGCTACCTAGGTAAGTCATATACAAAACATTTTAAAACTAGCAAAAATATACAGCAATTCAGCTGAAATAGCAAGGTAGGAAGGAAATTGCTATAAAAAGAAAAGATCTGCCAAACTTGTTAACATATCACTGGCACACATACTTTCTAGAACTATTTTGCAAAAGTAAAATCTCACTTTTCCTTCTGCATGAAATAATCAAGCTACATTAATTTATGGTTTATGGTGTATCATCTTGGGATTGAGAGAAACATACAGTATATTTGAATACGTAGTATTTGGGTATAACATCCTTTAACATTATAGAAGCATTTGTGAAGGCTGTTGAAGTTCTGACCAATATTCCTGTATCTTGAAAAAATATTTTATATTCATTTGTAACAACTCAACTATTGAGGGAAAATAGTAAAAGTGACTTACTCAAAAATTATTGCAGCAATCCACTTATCTTTAAAAAAAATAAAGATACACATTTACCCAGAAATGTAAATAATTGTTTCAGAATTCTCATTGGAATGAAACCATGAATAGCAGAATACATTTGGGAAAAGATATTGGCAGATTGCTTTTGAATACACAAGCACAAAAAAATTCTCACAGGGACAACATTGATATACTGAAATATGTATTTATACACTTCCTTAGGTTGTGCTTACCTGTGCTTTTTGCAGCAGAACCTAAGGTGGAAGATCTGGGAAGGCACTGTGAAGTATAAATAATTGCACTGTTTGCAATTAATAAAGATTTTATACTTTAAATGAATCAAAATCAACAGCCTCCATTTGGTGAATGATAAAGAATCTGGTGAATGTTTGTTCTGTTTAGTTAATAACTACACCATTTTCCAATAAGCTACAGACTTATCATGCAAAATATTTGATTTAGAGACTTCATAGCCTACTTATCTATATATTTATTAACTTCTAGTAGTCTTTTCAAAATGTAAATCCTAAACTAAGCTGGGATAAAAAAAAATCCCTCCTGATTCTACAGTAGAACAAATGCATTTCTAATTATTTTTGCGATACTACTTCATTTCAGACCACATTCGGTTCTTCTGTTGCAGCCACTCTAAGTGAACACTCCAAAACAACAAAATGGTTTTCTAAAGATAAGGCTAATAAAAGATTTAGAAAAATAGCATATAGCTGTATCACTAAATATATGCAGACAACTGAAGACAAAAACAACTTCCTCCTGACAAGCATTTTAAATGTTAACAATGTATAAGTTGATATCTGAATACATCTCATTTCTGAAACCCTAATGAACAATGTTAGTTCATTGATGAATTCTTTAGCTAAAGCTAAATATCTCAAAATACTTACCCATACATACACACATTTATGCATATCTAGGTATCTGATTTAAGAAGCAATTGTGATTTTCTAAAATATCAGCACTGTATTTTATTCCAACATAATATTCACACAGGTATGGCATTTGCATTATGTGGAACATTGACAAAAAGATACTGTTGCAGTTCATCATTTTGTCATTCTGATGTACTTACAGTGCAATGCTCCTTGAAGGAACAATCAAGGATGATACACAGCACAGTCCTCCTCACCCCTACAGAGCTAGTTCTATACTGGCTGGATCAAACCTGCACTTCAACAGACAATGGCAAGACAGACTGTATTGCATGTAATCTAATATATGCAAAAAAGCAAACAGTGGATTTTAACAGAACACCAATTTTCAATTAGAATTATTAAAAGTAAAATGTATGACGGAGACTTTTCAAACATAACTTAAAAACTAGTCTTCAACATTTAAAAACAGACCTTATCTGCAAAAACCTTTTTTTCATTAAGCATTCCAAGACTCAAACAGCATGTTTCTACAACAAATGCAGTTTTATAACTAAAAAGCATAATCATCCTTACTACACTGAATTCTGTAGCAAAGTGCTGCAAACCAACTGCTTAGCACATTTTGCTTTTCTAAATAACTGACTTTAATAATGTTTCTGAAAAATATACTAAAGAATTAAATCATTGTTAAAACAAATGTTAACTATAGCAGCTATACGGGTCTGGGACAGTGGTCATGAATAAAAAAGAAATTTCAACTGTTAATGCAGAAGTATGTCAAGAAATACCTTCACATACATGCAATTTTTATACAAGTAGAAAGAGGAGGATATCAGAATGCTAAATAGCAACATACAATCACAAGAGATCCTTCTATACCTATTCTGGAAGGGGAGAATACCAACATCAAGCCTGAACTTAAAAGAGGGGGGAAAAGTCTTACTTGTGTACATGTACAGAATTACTAAAAAAAATCCTTGAATTCTCTGAGTACCCACATATCCAACTTACCGACACAGGAGGTTTCATATTATTTATTGCAAAGCACAAAACAAGCATTTAAAAGTGATCAAGTATACATTGAAAAAGTACATTTATATCACAAAGCATTGACCACATAATAGTTGCAAATACATTTGCTGGAATGTGTACATCTACACTAATGTACTAAAAACAAACCAATTTCCATTTCTACACAGAAATATTACCTCCTATCAGTTGTGATAGATATTTTGTACATTTCAAAAAACACTATTTTTAAACCAAACAAAATTATGATCTTCATCAAGGCGTCTGCATCCATACATTTAACAAAGGTTTTTTCCCCCACATAATGAAGCAAATACTGTATTGTCCACTTCTTATTATTGGCCCTGTGCGAAGAAATACATAAGAAATACACAAAAAGTTAAAGAAAATATTTTTTAAAAAATTGTGCTAACTCAGGAGTGAAGCCTTTAAGAAAGAAAATTTGGTTAATGCAATGGTGGTGGCTTCCTGCATGGCTTTCAAAAACCCTGAGGAGAAATTTTTAGATCAAAAACACTAAATGTATGCAACGACAAACACAAATCTCCAGTTAAAAGAGCATTAATTCATTTGCAGTTATGTTTTATTAGGAAAAATGCATACTTCAGAAAGATATCAATGTGGGAGACATGCAAAAACAAACAAAATTCCACCCCACAAAAATTGAAAGAAATATCTCACTAAAATAATAGCTAAATAATTCAAGACTGTTATACCTGTGGTGCTGGAGGATGTTGTGGCATTCCTTGTGGACTTGTCTGGGCATAATAAGCTGCCTGCTGTCTATAGTATTCAGCCCATGCTGCACTGTAATCTGGCTGACCTGTCGGTGGGGCTCCTGCTGGAGCTGGAACAGCCTGACCTAGAACAAATGTAGATTACACAACTCTGGTGCCATAAAAGGGGCAGAAGAAGCTCAAAATAATCTCATTTCTAACGAACATTACCTTGCTTCTTGTAATATTCCTCCCAAGCCTTTGAATAATCTTGTGGCTGCCCTTGTTGACCTGCAAAACCCCCCACATTTTAATGTAAACACAGCTCCCATGTATACCAAAATTACAGTCAAGAATACAATGGAAGAGTTCTTTGCTGTTTTGTTTTGATATATAGTGAAAACCAAAGATAATATCAAAACCTCACATTTTAGTTTTTTGTTCTAGAATTTTTAATCAAAATATTGCTTAAATTTGAGCTCAATTTTTATACAGTAGTCTGCTGCATGCTATATAACTAAGTTCGCTCACCATATAATATGCTAATGATTCATCCAAGCTAGCTTGCATAATCCAAACTACTTTCTCTAGTTTGAGCATGCTTGGAAATGTATGCCATATTCTACACAAATGTGTAGAAAAATCACTCATATATTCTCATTATATGGTTTGTAATATATATAATCGGTGGGACTTGCCCTGAAATCTGTATCCATGAGTATGCTATATACTCATATGAACATATATATATATTCTAATATTACAAGAGCATACTTTTTTGTCAACCCATGCTTAATACTTAAGTTGACCTTGTTTTTTGATGACTAGCATGTGGTAACAGAATGCAGAACGATGGCAAAAAACTTACAGCAACTATAAAACTCCTTTTAAATTAACTTACTACTGATTACAGGCAGCCCCTGGGTTAAGAACACCCAGCTTACAGGTGACCCATAGTTAAGAACGGAGTCTATTGTAGCAAAATTCAAGTTAAATTCACAATGATTTGAGTTAAATACACAGTGGTTTGAGTTCATTATACGATATTATTTATATAGTATTATACAATAATACTATTCTGGCTTACATGCAAATTTGACTTAAAGACAGACCTTGAGAACGGAACTTGTTCTGAAACTGGGGTCTACCTGTAATTTTATTTTAAATTAAATATTTTAAATTGTTTCTCAACTATATTTAATATACATAGCAAATAAAAGAATATGGATAAAGAAAAACTGTAAGATACATATGGGTCAGTCATTTTATATTTAAGAAAGTAAATTGGGAGTGGGGGGACAGATTTAAAGTACTACCAATAAGAACTCAAATTCTCATTCATATACGTAATGTCAAATTGCTATGCATTTATTTGCAGAACAGATCCTGTGAAGGGTGTCAACTTATGAGATAATGGCCAAAAATTCATATATGTGAATTTGAATCCATTATTTTGAATCCATGGCTCAGTTTCTCCCTAATTACTTCATACTGGTTCTCTGCACTATATATAAATTGGTATCTGAGACCAATTTAGGTAGTATGCTTAACATCAAAAGGGCATAATATAGGACTATCATGAACTCTCCTACCCTACCTACTTAAATTTACCTTGAATTGTTCTATATATATGATGCAAATGGGTGGAATAAAATGCTTTAAAACGAAGACAATTCATATTGTGAAGACAGTCATAGTGACAAAAATGGAGGGCACAAAAAGAAAAGTGGATGTTACAACAATACTTTCTAATCCTGTTAATTCTAATTCTGAATTAATTCTCAAAACAGGTTACAACCAACACCACAAGTTACTATTATACTATTTTATTGGGAGATGCAAACACACACACACATATAAGTTAATTGCTTATATTCTTATGTTTAATATATAGGAGAGGATGTCAACTTTTCTTTGCCAATTGTTTATAACCTGTCACCTACAACCTCTTACAATGCTGAATTAACCCAGTTCAGAATATTTGCCAACACATACAGTAATTAAGTGCTTCAGACAAATAAGCTGGTGCCAAATTCCAGCAAAACTCAATACAGCAATGGAAATGTATGCAGCATTTTAATAATAATATAGAAAATGGATCAAATTCTCATCTGATTTACATGCTTAATTATCAAAATCAGGAGTGCAGGTTATATGTTTTTATTGAAATTGTGCTGTGAAAATAATTTACTTAAAATTAAAAAGGAAATTAGATTGCCCACATTTTGGCAATTAATATTCTGATCATGGATGTTTAAGATGACATAATCTCAACATCTAATTCTGTCTAAGGCCAGAATGGAACCAATTACTCCTGTTTCAAATTAGACTTTCCACTGATGGCACTGGATGCAAAATGCAAACACATGTATTTGGCTTCTAACAAAGAAAAATTAGAACTGTAGCATGTATTCACTAGTTATCATAAAAGGGGCACATATATTTCACATGCAGTGTTTCCATGTTAAATGTAGAGTTTCATAACAGAACAACATGAAACTATAACAGCTGAATTTGTGATTCAGATTCAATTTTACTGTTTAACAGAAAACAGCAAGAAAATGGCAAATATTTATGAATAGTGTTCTTTTGACACAAATAATGAAATATTCTAGGACTAGCATTTCATGAATACCTTTTACTCATATATGCTTTCAAGGGCACTAACACCAGCATAGGGTTTACTGTATCAGAGGTTTAGGATAATTTTTTTTCTTACTGGAAACAGTTATAAGGGCAGATGAATATTTTAAATGCAGGGGATTGGATGCATTTTAACTGTTTTCTGAATTATTTAATTTTGCCATGACCTTTCTTAACCTATCTGATATGAGAAACAGGAAATAGTAAACCATAATGGAACAGGGAGAACTGAAGTTCTGATAAAGTCTTTGCCACTTTTCTTAGGTTGAAACATGTTAGTTGCTGGGAACATTCTCAGACCTGAGGCAATGGACTGGATTCATTTAATGGCTTTTAGCCTCAAGCACTAATGTTTACATTAAAAGTAGCTTTGGCATTTTTGGAAAGTTTAATTCTATCAAATAAAGCTTATTCTTTCCCATGTAAAATAGTAATGCTTACAGCACTACTCCTAATTGTTTTTTTACTGTACAAATCCAACTGCAAACATTAGATTATGGAATACAGGTTTTCCTGTGTAATAGTAAAGACATCATAAAAGCTTTCCAAACTCTAAGTCACACAATCAGCAAAAATATAAAAAGTGCTTACAATATAAAATTTAGGAATATCTACAGAGTAGTTTTGCTTTTCAAAATAAGCAGCTTTACTGTTTCCATATGAAACAGTAAAGCTTCTGAGAAGTAAATTTTAAAAATCAAAAATAAAACATACCCATTTTTTTATAGTACTCTTCCCAAGCCTTGGTGTAATCTACCTGCCCTGCTGGTGCTGGATTTGGTTGATCTCCTGATTGAACAAAAAATTAAAAATAGAATGAATAAAATAAAAAAAAATAAAAAGGGTCAGTTCCAGTCACTTACATTTTATTCCAGTTAATGGTTAAAAGCCTTACATCAAAAGTCAAAACATCTGTTTTCAAATACTATTTAAATCCCAGTTCAGAATGCCTTATTTGCACCTATCAAGCACAGAACTTAGCTGCAGGCATGCATCTTTTACCCATCAAGACATGTCATTTCTTTATCTATACAAGCCAAAAAAACCATTCTCTTGCACTAACATACAGGGAGATCAGTCAAACCTTCTTAATGATTCAGCTGGTCCAGTTATGTTTAACTGAAACCAGTCATTGTGCACAAATCAATCTATCTCCATGACTAGTTCATGTCCCATACAGACCACACCCCAAATCCTTGTGATGGTGACATATGCTTTGCATGTGTGTGATCCCACTGTAATTTTCCAGAAAACCCTGGAAACAATCATATCTTGGCAGAATATTCAATTCAAATTCATGACAAATTTTTGTTTTACTCATGATAGCAACAGCTATGCCATAATAATTTGACTGGAAGCACAATATAAACCTTGAAGTGATCATGTTGATTTGAATTAATTTTTGATCCAAATTCAGTTTTTGTATTTCCACCTACTGGTCTATAATCTGTGTATGTTCTACTGGATTATTTTTCACAATTCCTGCTGACAGTAATTTCCCTTACATACTTTCAAATCAAGACTGAAATCCTACATTTCTTTACAAAACAAACCTTGGGTGGTATCAAGTTCACAAGCCTATTACCCGCACCTCTTTCACTGAAAGTGCAGTATTTTATATCCTGATTTAATAGCAACTCATAGTTTCAACAAAGGTGAGTAACCCATTTGCTTGCAAAGCATAAACTGAAAGCCCAGATAATGTACACAAACTCTAGATTGCAGTAGTGAAAAGGCAAGTCTAGCATTGCTTGAGGCTCATTCCCATTTTGGTATAATGTATGAATGCAGATTTTTTTTCTGAGGAATAACTTAAAAACAAAAATCAATTCTTGAATCCTAGACACAATTTTATGAGGTATGACATATTGTGAGTTGTATTTAATTGGCTCATCAACATAATTGCTTGGAATATAAGAAAACTAAGAGAAGGAAAGAGATATGGAGATTACTGGAAAGATTAGGAGTTGCCCAGAATTTGGTAAACCTCAGCCCAACTTTGGTTAAGATTCTCATCAATCTAATGCCCTATACTAAAGTAGCTGTCCCAAATATTTAGATTCCTCTTGTTATTTTAGGATTGAATCCAACATACATACAAAGCTTCAAATATTTAATTGGTGAAATTATAACAAAACTACTCTTTCAAGATATTCTAGGGTTTGAATAAGATAGTGTACTTCATCTTTAAACAAAAGCTATTTTAATGTTTTTGTTATATTGATATGAGTATGGTACCTTGTCCGTTGGTCTGAGTTGCAGGTGGCGCACTAGGTGGAGCTGCAGGGGGTGGCTGTGCTTGCTGTTGATAGTAGTGGGCGTAATAGGCTGCCCATGCTGCTGAATTAGGATCTGCTGGCTTACCTGAAAAATTAAGTATGACTTTCAGTTCAACATCTTGAATGAGATCACCAAGATCAATTGCCATTTACATCCATTCTTATGTTAGAAAACATAAACATATAAAAGATATTCCCTAAAAGTAAAATGGATAATCTGTTCATACGGAATATTAATTGTTCATTACAGCATCTGAATAATGCATGCAGCCATTTTCCCCAGTTTCTATGTAAATTACACACATGTATATTCAAAAACATGCTTATAAATGTAAGCACTACAAAGTGGGGCCTGTATCTAGGACTGCCCTGCAGCCAAATTAGCCTTATTGTTTTGGTGTGTTTGGTGTGAGTGTCACTTTCAGAACTGGTGTGTTATCTGAGTAGCAATGCATAGGATTTGGACTGCATCTTATACAAGCTTACTTGAGAGCAATGCCATAAATTCTACGGTACCTTCTTTTGAGTAATAGACCTGTTTAAAGGGGAGGCAGAAAGCAATCCCACGAGTTTTATTATCTAGTTTGAAGTCATACATTTCAAAGCCATATTTTTTAAAAATTAGAAACATTGGTTCTAAATTTAACTTTGTACCGAATTCAGGGTGAATTTCGGCTATCTGAAATATTCAGTGTAAACATAACTTAGCAACCCAAGCTGCTGGGTCTTCACAACTATCTGTGCTTAAATGCGTGCTTAGCGTTTTCAATGGAGCCTATTAGCAACTGCGTTTAGCATTTCAGCTTTAGTGTGCTATTAGGCTGGCAAAATGAAATGAGCATGGCTTTAATGAATGATTTATCAAATGAGTTTCGCCACATTTTCATTAGTATGTGATTAATGTGTAGCTCATTGCAAACTATCACCATTTATACATCCTGCTTATACTTACCAGGGTCTGGGGGATTTGGTGGTTGCCAGTGTGGATATGCATTACCCCATCCTTGTGGAGCATATGGTGCTGGAGGTCCACTAAAATGAAAGTGTAATATGTAATTAGATCAAGTTGTAAAATAAATTGTAGTGACTTTGGATTTCTTAATATTAATGGATGGTTCTTTTTGGTATTGGTGACTTAGAGACTGCTGCAAAAGCTAGACTGCAGTCTACTAGGAACCCTCTGATTTCCCCCATCAAAACCAGAATTGAACTAGATAGCTTACAAGAATCCCTCTGCGTGTATGCTTCAGAGCTAATGATTTACAGCACACCTAATATGAATTAAACCCTTTATAATATATATTACTTTTAAAATTCAGAATGTTCAGTTAAACAGTATACTTTCTTCTTTCAGAGAAATCTCTGAAGTGAACGCTTCTTAAGCATTTACTTAATGCTTTACTTTACTTTACTTAAGCATCTTAAGATATTTGTTATATCTTGTTTATATAACAAATGCATTTAAAAATTACATGGAAGCTACAGTTGCAATCTACAACTTGGTCCAAAGATTTACCCCATCTTTGGGTCCTGTCTAATGTGCCAGACCCCTGCTTCTATGGATCTGGTGCTTAGTGCCTGTTCTTGTACTACTTTGATTAGTGCCTTAGTGCTATCTTTTAATCCAGCCCTTCCCAGCTACTGGTAGGATTTTCCAATGTCAGCCACCTCAGCTATCTGTTGATGGTACATCCCATGCAGGGTCTTGTCTTGTCATGGCACCTCCTCTGCTTGAACCTTCTTCCATGTCTGTTGCTGCCTCAGGCATTCTCTCAGCAGTTCATCTTTGGGTGCCAGTATTCCTGGATGCTCTGGGTTTCGTCCAGAACAGTGGCTTTGACACTCACCAGACCCTGCCCACACTCTTTCCGGCTGCGTACAGTCTCTGGGTGTTGGACTTGGGGTAGAAATCTCCGTACATTGTGAGGAGCTTCTGGGTCTTCAAACTGGCAGCCTCCATGTCCTCCTCTAGCCAGTTCACTATACTGCCAGGGTATCTGATGACTGGCAGGGCATACGTGTTGATGGCATGGATTTTGTTCTTCCCACTGAGCTGGCTCTTCAGGACCTATATCCTTTGGTGGTACTTGGATGCTGCTGTCTTCCTTGCCTCCTCATTGTGGTTCCCATGTGACTGAGGGATACCAAGGTACTTGTAACTGGTCTGTATGTCGCTATCTCAAGTTGTGAGAGCAGCTTCCTCTTCACTATGTTGAAGCATTGGGATTGTTGTTTCTCAGTTAGTGTGGATGTAGGTCTTCTGTCCATCCATAGTTCCCTCATACGTTTCATATGTCCCCTCTCATTAGGTCTACTGTTGTAGTAGCATTCCATCAATTCCAGGTTCTCTTATCTCACCCATATATGGTTTGTTCCAGTAGCCCACCTAGCCTACCTGGTTCCCCAACATCTGGCATGGATCTTGTAAATCTGGGCAATGTCCAAGCCGGCATGATTCTCTTAGTTTGTGTCACTCTTGTATCCAAGGTAGGCAGGTGAAGTGTTGGGGGTCTTCGCCCAAGAACCCCTACTAGTAAGGTAGGTACCAGCCGAGATTTGAATCCTGGTCTCCTGCGTCGAAGAGTGGCGCTCTAACCACTACACTATTCAGCTGCCGGTGTGAATATATATATATTTACACAAACACACCAGGTGACTTCCTAGACCCTAGTCCAACATCTTAACCAGTACACTATGCTCTGCAAAACTGTCTGCAAGCACGATACTTACTGAGGTGCAGGACCAGGAGGGCCGGGGGTATAAGGAGCTGGATTGTAAGGTCCCATTGGAGCACCAGGAGGTGGCCCAGGTGGTCCATGTGGCCCAGGAACAACACCATGAGGTCCATGAGGCACAGGTGGCCCCAAAGGATTTACTGGACCCTGTTAAGGTAAAATAGTAAAGCAAAGTTATTATACATCAATAGCAAGGATAAGATTATACTGAGCTAAAAGTTTGATTATCCATTTTTCTTTTAGAGAACTAATGCAGCATTTTCAGAAACATCTATATATTGTATCCAACCGCACTGTATATCAGTATAATTAAAACTCATACAGGTAGTCCTCAGGTTATGACCCTAATGGGGAGCAGAATTTGTCACTAAGTGAAGTGGTTGTTAAGCAGAACATCACATGACCACACCACTTAGCAACAACAGTCCCAACTGGTCAGACTGCAGTCATTAGGCCAGGACCACATGGTCATTAGGCTAGGACCTCAAGCTTCTCCAGCCCTGCGTAAACTGCCTCTGCTTCAACTCCTCCCCCTCAATCTCCCGTCCCATCTCTGCCTTTTTGGCCATCCTGCATTCTGCCGCCTACCCCGGCTGCCCCCAGCTGACCTTCACCATCTTCTTCCTCCCGCTGCTAGCCCAGGATGCAGGTGCTTGGCAAGGGCGCAGCCCCAGGACACACATGGCAAGCACAGCAGGGTAGTAGAGCCTCATCTGTCAAAGGTTGCCTGGCCCAACAGAAGGCAGCAGGATGGAAGTTTCCACCATTGCACTTCCCCCACTGTTACGTGATTGCGATCTGGGCACTTAGCAACCAGCTCACGCTTACGACGGCTGCAGCATCCATGGTCACATGATTGCAATTTGTGACCTTCCCTACTGGCTTCCCACAAGTAAATTCAATGGGGAAGCTCGCATGGGGTAGGCTGCAAGCTGCTTGGGTAAGTCTCCCCCACCAATGCACTCTCCCCAGCCACCTGCACCCTCCCCGAGCCTCACTGTGGTCACATTGCACCTCCCTGGCCACTCATGCACCCTCTCCGAATCTCACTGTGCTTGCGCTGCACCTCCCTGGCCACTTGCACATCCTCCCCCACCCAGGAGCCTCTTACCTGCCTGCCTCCAAGCTGCCTGGGACTTGCAACTTCCTGCCAGCTTGCCCACCGACTTTGGTTGTTGGAAGCTGGCAGGAAGTTGCAAGGAGGGGCTTGCTTAATGACCCATGATCCTCGCTTAACATCGGCAACGGGGACTACAGGTATTACTGTCACTTAGTGATGGAAATTCTGGTCCCAATTGCCACCATAACTCGAGGACTACCTATACACACATTTCACAAAATGCGAATACTGTCCATAATTCTTAATTTTCTACAATTTATATTGCTTAGTTATGCACTTTTTAATGAATATATTAAATTCTCATCATTCCGTAAATTGCGCAGAACAAGCAAGTCCTCCACTTAAATTGTCTTATTACTCTTAAGAACATGCAACAAACTTGACAAGTATAATTTTAAATGGGACTGCTCAAAGTTATCAATAAGTAATATCATAAGGAGATGTATTCTGAACAAAGACAAATTTAAAAAGGTAATTCTATTCTGTACTCCAACCAGCTGTTAGCACAGCAGAAACATTAACGAACATTAGTTTTCCAAAACACTCACTCCAATCTTTTCTTCTATAAGCTGCCGAGCATAATCAATCTGTTGTGGTGTCCCCCGAATAGTAAATAATTTCATGTTGGGATCTGCATTTGGTGGAGGATTTCTCTGAAGTTCTATTCTTGCACCAGACTGCTGACTAATGCTCTTGATAGTTTCACCACCTGAATTTACATACAAATAAATGCTGTTATGCTGTAATCTGTACAAGTTCTTAATAACCCTAAGTTGAAAGAACAATAAAAATCACCCTTGCTTGCTCCTGAAGTGAGAACACCTTGATGACATTATATCACTATTGTTATAGTTGTATTTATAGCTCTAAACTACCATTTAAAACATTATTTTCTGCATGACTTTTAACATTTCTTCTTGTTTGACATAAGGAATGTTGTAATTGGTTAGTTACATTTATTTCTTGGAGGTCAGAAACCGTGTGATTTAGTTTCATTATCTGTACAGTAATCTTCACCTGCACAAGCTGTTCCACAGTTCCAATTCATAAATGAGGTTGTGAAAAACCCTGAATAGCTTTAATTGTTTTAAGAAAACAGAGAAGCCCGGAGATATGTATACAACATATGCACCTGAGAATAGAATAGTATGTGTTGCTAAAAGTAGTTAGTTTGCAAGGTTTTAATGCTGAACCAAAAACTTCCACTTTCATCTTTTGTATGAGGCGTTCAATATATAACTACCATCTTGAGTATATAAAGTAGCAGGGATGGGAGAAAAATACATGGCATATCTTTTCAAATATTGCCTCAACAGAAGTGGTAACATGAGGTTTTTATTTTGTGAAGGTATTTACCAAAGATTATAGAGCTGATCAACTCATTCTGTTGACATCTGGGAAATACAGCTGATGTGATTCATGTCTTACCCAAAGACCTAGGCTAAGTTGGACACTGTTATCTCCATATTAGAAAGAAACCAATATAGTATGTTACTCGAAGAAAAGTTCAAGTATAATTCAGGAAACAATAGAGAGATTTCAGAAGCAGTAATAGATAGTGAGAAAACAATTTACACTGCTTTCTAAGAATTTACTGGAGGTACAAATGAAGTCCAATCAATATTATACCTAGTTAGACAATACAGAAGGCAAACAAACCGTGTTTTAGCTTTGAGGTCTAGATTCAATTCCTCATAGTGGACATGTAAGAGTTCGTATCTGCAGATATCTGCAGATCCCTCTCATCCTGGACATAAATTGTTTCAACTTCTCCCCTCAGGATGGCACTATAGAGCACTGTATGCCAAAACATCTAGACACAGAAAGAGTTTTTTCCCTCATGCCATTGCTCTGCTGAACACCTAATTAATGCAGCATGACATAATGACTGACAATGTATGATAAGACATGACTGCTAAGATGTGACTGATAATTGCTTTGTTAAATGTGAATACATGTTAGACAATAGCTGCATTATTATTGTTTCTTCAATTTTCTTTAAATATGAATATATGTTAGTCAATAGCCGGAGTATTATTCCTCTTTCAATCCTCCTCTTCTTGACTGTATAGTTTTAGTAAATAATATTATTACTTTCATTACCGTTTATTCCTGATAATATGTAAATATACTGAGAGCTCTTGCACCAAAGTCAAATTCCTTGTATGTCTAATCATACTTGGCCAATAAAGTATTCTATTCTATTCTAT